TTCTGCCAAATATATATTTTCCTTCTTAAGAAATTTCTAGTAATACCAACAGAGACACAACCACAGGACCTGCATTAAACCTAAGATAATCCTAGCAATGCTGTAGGAATGCTTAGGTGGTATAACCTATTGATAGTGCTTGATACTTAAATTTGCAGAAGAGTCTCTGAGACAATTAAATTCAATTGTTAAGAAAAAGCAGTCTGCGTTATCGCATTTAAAGGGGCATCCTTGGAACCTTTGAGGTTAACCAATCTGCTGGCAGCATACTGCCTGTTAGAAATGAAGCTGAGTTGAGGCAGGATAACTGCTACTTTCACTGCTGCTGGTAGCTACTATGAGCAGCTGATAGGCAAGACATTGACTAAGCTAGACTACATAAACAGCATCAGAGGATTGAGTGATGGAGGTCGTTTTGTTCCGTGTGATTGAATTTAGAGTGAACAATGTGAGACTTTCTAGTTCATTATGACCTTATGGGAGACAGGGAAAAAGCTCTACCTTCCAGGTTGAATAACCGGACGTACTGTACTGTTTACGAGGTCTTTTGCTTTGGTCATAAACCAATCTTCTCCATTTTTCTTTTTGTTTAAAACATATTTGAACGTGAGAAGAGGGCAGATGGTCCTCACGGCTTGTTTATTTTTTAGTAATTGCTTTATCTTATAATTTTTTATAATTGCTTTAAAGGATCTCATCCAGGCTTTCCTTGGAAGAGGGTGGGGAAATGCCAGTTATTCTCAGTTTTACACAGACCTTTTCCTTCGTTTCCTTAGTTATGTCCTCTGCTTTATGTGTCCTAAAGACATTTTTATTGTGGTCATTAACAAAAACATGCTCTTTTTTTTTGATCTTTGAGAAAAAAATTCTGCCACTAAGGCAATGAGCCATACAGCTGATTTAGTAAAATCTTGTTTTTTTCCATAAAGTTTTTTTAAATAAAAAACACTGTATTTAACACACAATAATGCCAGCAGCTCTTTATATTTGTATTTTATGAAAATTTATGAAAAAATGTTTGCTGTGTTATGATGTACTAAATTACTCCTATTAAAAGATAGTATTCATTTGATTGTTTATATTTTACACATACAGCAAGCAATTACATCAGAAATACCCACAAAATAGCTCAGTTGAATATTTCCTTCATTTGCATTATTTTCTTTTATCCATCACATTTTAAGTTACACTTCAGTATTTTAATATATTCCCTAAAAACCTCATTATGTTAATGGGATATTGTGCAGTGAAATTGCTTTGCATTGCTTTGCATTTGCATTTAATTGTCTCCTTCCTGAATTGTATAAATGCACCCTTTTGTCACATTTATGTAGGATGCATTTTACAATCACTTTAATTACTTGTTTTTTGTTTGGGAACATGGTTCTTCGCTGCAACTGGAGGCTTTTTTCTGAATTTGTTTTTTTTCTCTCTCTCTTCTGGGTTCAGTATGCATGTCATTTGAACGTATTTGAAAACAATCCTTTTCTTTAAAAGGCAAAACAAAAATCACAAAGTACAGTATGTTAAATGTAACAATGTTATATTATGTTACATTATTAATAATGTTATATACAAAGAAATAATACAGTAATAATAAAACTATAATTTTATTGAGAATATAATAAATTGCACTCCTCTGTGATCTTCCATGTCGTTTCTGTTGCCAGTGGTCAAACTGCGATTTCAATATGCACTTGTGATCACCTCACATAATCTAGCTGCATAAGGGGGAGAAGAAGAGTGACTGAATCTTCTCAAGCAATATGTTCAATCTGCTTTTTGGTTTAATTAGTATGTTGAAGTCATTCATTGCCATTAAAGGATGATTATACATGCTTGCTCTTAATGGAAACCTGCTTAAGCTCCAGGAAACCCTGGAGGGAAAGCATCTTCAGCTCTTAGAGGCGTGCTCCTGTTGAGAATGACCTCGAAATTTTCTACTCCATTTCATCAGCTCTCCAGGGTTCCAGCACTTTCGGACTTTTTCGCACAACAGCTCAGACTCTTTTTATCCGCACAGAATTCACAAAGTGAAATAAACCCGTAAAGCTTTCTGGAACGAGAATATTTTTCATACTTGGGATTTTAGCAGAAAGAGCATCTTCATGAAGCAGCTGGGAATTGGAGCACATCATCCTAGATGTCTCTCAAGCAGACATGGGATGCCTCTTGCGCTAATTCTCAAGATTAAGCTTTTAACTGACAATGAAATGAGTTTGGGTTTAGCAAAGTATCCTGATTTTCTGAAACCATATGTGGGAAAGAATCAGAAAATGAAAATACTGGCTGTGGCTCATTCAGAATTCTCTGTAAGACTTTGTTGGTCCAATTAATGAAGCAACACTGCGCCATAACTGAAAGCCACTATTATTTTGACTGAGTTTCAGAAAGTGTTCCAGCCACCTCAAATATATCAGTCCCACAACAGTTGCACATTGGCTTTTAATTGCCTGGTATTAAGCTTTTATCTCAAAAGATAGTCAAAAGTAGATCTTAGGTCCAAATTTGTTTCGCTATTTTGCCAGGGCCTGCTTTATCCTGTGTGTTAGTAATTTAGACAGTCATTAGTGATTATCCTATGCCACTTTTGTGCCACTTCACATAGCCTGTTCCAGTCTCGTTACGGCCCAGAGCCTTCTTCTGTAAAATAAAAAAACACATGAGCTGCATTTCTGTAAACAGTCAACCTCTCTCATTGGAAAGGAACAGGTAAAGGTTTATTCCGTGCTGAAAAGAAAAGAGATGCAACATCTCGGTTGTGGAGCCTTCTTTAGGTGACCTACTTGAACTTTTCTCGTTACTGTCTATCCCTGTCTACCATCAATTCTGTTCAAAAAAAAAATGTGCTGTATTCTAAACCAATGCTTAAGCCTAGGGTTGGCTGAAAGTAAATGTTGATTTCTTTTATATTTGTGCCATCCATTGGACTGCTGAGATGGAAATGTCAAAGTTGCTCTTGGAGTAGAGGTCTATAGGGCACAAGAAGCTGAAAGAGATCTTGGCATGAGTGATGGGGTCAACGTAGTCAGATGCTCACGGACAGCGCTCTGACACGATGGTTCTGGAGATAATAGCTTTTGTACAGTAGCCTTTCTCTTCGTTGTCATAAATGCCATGCGCTGACATCTGTGGCAGGGACACGCCATTCATGGGACAGTGCCACAAATGTCAGCGGGTAATTCAAGTGAGATTCTGCCCTTTGGTGGTCTGGCAGAGGCAGGGAATTACTGAGCATACACATCACCATCACTGCCTCTCGCTTACACATATACTGAGAGAAGTATACAGTATACATATAGAAAGAGGCAGTGATGGCAATAACAGTTCCCAGTAAACCATTTCCCCTTAAGTAAAAGCAGTTAAGTGGTAAAGTTTGAGCAGGGAACCAAACATTAAATGCTTTGTGCCCCTCTATGCTAATGTGACATTATCCTACACTTTCATGCAAGTCAGGGGTATTTGTAATGCTGCAGTATGATAATAAAACCATTTGATCTGGTATTACATGAAACAGCCTCATGCATCACAAATAATATTTTAGGTTAGATTTTCCAGAACTGAGAGGAAAATGCACTGAGAGGTTTTTATAAAATAATATGTACGCATGTAGCTAATTAGCGCTTTAACTGAAGCTTAACACTTTTTCACACTCTTGACTTATGACTTAATGCTTAATTTTTTCATGCTGGCTTTGTTTCAAGTGATTTTTTTTTCACAACACCAAATTCCTCTTCAGCATAATTGGAGAGGTGATTTGTTCATAATGCCAGCCTATTTCCCACCACCTCTTCACAGTCATTAATACGAATAACAATTCACAAACAAAGAAATACAAAATAATGATACAGATTGAGATTGAGCCTATGAGAGGCTTTAAAAACAGTAATTAAACTCAATTCTGTATTCTTTCTGTAACAATGCTAGAAAACTGGTCAGGCAAATAGTCAACTAATTTAATTTCCAATGAATATTTTTCTGTTTGTTTCCCCAGACAGAAACAGGATTAAATGACACACTATACAAGTTTAATGTTAAGTGAGAAACAAAGATGGCTGTCTTTAGTGTTCTGAAACACATATACATGTTTTTGATATACCAGCTTAAAAAAGAAAAAAAATACATACTTTAGTTTGAAGGAATAAGAACAAGTAATATTATCATAAATACATGATTGAATTATTGTATTGGATTAAGTGGTTAGAAAATGGATGGATGGATTTTAAAATTCTATAGTTTTAAAAACAGAATTCCCTGCTTTGGGTGAACAAAATTAGTTTTATAATGTGTAGGTACGGTATTTGTCATTTACTTTATATTAGACCTTGCAAGGGTTATACAGTATGCCTGAGATGCGTTGGATACATCTGACCCTTAACCTGACAACTGTTCCCTCTAAGTCAGTGAAAGGATGTGCAAACACTGGCAAACAACCCTAGATTAACATAACCTTGCTACCATTATGTGTGTTAGATCATATATAAAACGGTGATTGTGATGCAGAACAATACTGCTTCTAAAGTGCACTATTTTATTGCGATTTCCAGTCCAGCAGTAAGCAAAGTCCAATACAATAAAATAAACTGTAGATTTATGATGCATTCTTTCTTAGGGAGCCTTGACCATTTCAAAATAACTCCCTCTTTACCCAAAAAAGAGCATGCAGGGCAGTCCATGTAATTTCTAAATCTGTAAATTGGTGCTAAGAAAATGTCATTCATTCCAAACGGGTGTGGATGTGAGTTGAATTATTTTCACTTTTTTAAACCACTTTTTTAAAGTGGTTACAGGTAATTTACTGAAAAATGGTCAACTCATGATGCTCACTTTTTTCATTAACCTTTGCCTAATCCCTTTAAAGACAAGATATGTTCGGTGTAAAATTTTGGAGTAATGTATATCTGTCTTATAAGTTGTTATAAGCAAAAATATTTGGGGAGATATTTTCATTTCAATGAGAAATAGCCTGTTGTGTCTTTCTTCTTTCGCCTGTCTGCCAGGACACAGATTTTATGACCTTCAACATCTCCATGCACCGGTCCTGGTGGCGGGAACACGGGCCGGGCTGTGTGAGAAGAGAAGTCCAGCCCCCGCCCAGCCAGGCCCCTGCTGACCACTCCTACATCTCTGTGACTGGGTGCATCATGCCATTCCAGTACCTGGAGGCCCTCCACAGCTCTTTCCAACTGCTGCTGTCTGTGAGTACTGTGTAGCCCCCAGCATCGCGCTGTGAGCCTGGCCCAACATCCATCTCATACCCCAGACCCTGAAACAGACATTGTAGAGGAATTATTTTATCCCATACTCCGTCAAACTACTCAATCAGTAACTGAGTAATGGTTTATGAGCAAGTGGTATCTGTGCATTATGTGCAGGTGGAATTATATAGGCTTGGTGTAATTGTGGGGGGGTAGTAAATATAATAATAAATATTCCTTATACTTATAGTGCAGTTTTCTGGAGACTCCACTCAAAACGCTCTACGGGTAATGGAGACTCCCCTCCACTACCACCATTGTGTAGCCCCCCCTGAGTGATGCGATGGCAGCCAGATTGCTAGAACGCTCACCGTACTCCAGCTATCAGTGGGGGGGAGAACAGAGTGATGAAGCCAGTTCATAGAGGTTGATTATTAGGAGGCCATGATTGGTAAAGGCCAGGGAGATCTGCCCAAGACACTGAGGTTACACCCCTACTCTTTTTGAAAAGCGCCCTGGGATTTACAATGATCACAGAGTGTCAGGACCTCGGTTTTACGTCTCATCTCAAGGACAATGCCTTTTGTACAGTGTCCCCATCACTATACTGGGATATTAGAACCCACACAGAGGGCAGGGTGAGTGCCCCCTGCTGGTTCCACTAACACCTCTTCCAGGAGTGACCATAGCTTTCTCAGGTGGTCTCCCATCCAGGTACAGACCAGGTTCACACCTGCTGAGCTTCAGTAGGCTGCCTGTTGTGAGTTGCAGGGTGATATGGCCATAGGTGTGGTGTGAAAAGGATATGTATAGGTAGGTGTCGTCATGTTATGTTAACATGTACTATTAGTATGCTTTGTAATTTTCACTGTGTGTAATACATGCTTAAATGCAAGACAAATGTCTGAGAAATCAGACAAAGTATTATCGTACCATATTTACAGAATGCTTATTAAGTTAATGTGCCACCTCAATTCAGTTCACCCAGCAGTGGATGTGCACACAGCCGTCTTTATACAACTGCTTGTCCCCTTACAATTGCTTCACATTTGACTCAGACCTTGTCTGAAAGTGTGAATAACAAACCAGGGACTGCACAAGTGGAAAGGAAGACCGAAGACTCTTTTTCTTCTATGTTGTATTTAGAACAAACATTTGAATTGAAAATGTGATGAATAGTTTCTCAGGTCAGTGCAGCTCCTGTCTGTGCACTTACAGTACATATTTTGAACAGCGGTGTAGTGTACAGACCTGATTGAGAACAGCAGAGATTCAGGGTGTGTCAGCAATCTTAATACCCCAACAGTGTGCTGTGCGCCCCCTGGTGGACGCTGGCAGTGTTACTGCCCTTTGTCATTTGGCCCATCATGCTGTGTGGGTGGACCTTTTCGTTCCACAGCATGTGTTAGAAGAAAGAATATCTCTACCATAATACCTTGTAATTTACCCTTTTGACAATTTTCACTTCAAACCTATGTTTGAATATGTCTTTGAGACTTATTTGAACCAAGCCACGAAAATCACTAGAGAAATAATATAATTTTGATTCATATCCCCAGAGTTTCCAGTGTTCAATGTCAACCTTTCCTTTGTAGAGGTGGTTAGTTTTTGTCACTTCCCTGGTGTTGAATCCCTTTTCATCTGGTGTATGCTTTTTCAGTCTTTTTTCTTTTCTGTCTTCTGTACTCTACAGAAGGTTTACTCAACTTGCAGCTCTTCCAGCCATTTCCAGTGAAGGACTATTAGCTTTTTAATTGTTATGTTGATCCCACTAATTATTGATTGAATAATTAAGGGGCCTGTTCACTGCAAAACTGTGTTAAGCAGCCCTGCACTCTGGAGAGAAACCAATTACATACTGTACAGTATGTCTTCAGCTTGAATTTTGTAATCTTAGATAATAGCATAATACATAGATGTTTACATGGGTTTCGTGTTGTAAGAACAGAATCTGTTTGATTTTGTTTGAACTTCGAACTATGAAACCTCATGATTTTTTTCATTTATGTTTTAAGGTGCCATTATAATCCAACAATTTTAAATATCATACTGTATAGCAGATTTGTTAGTATGTGAAGTATAGTTGTTTGGCTTCAATTTAGAAATGCTAAGGGCAGCGTACAGAAGGAAGTAACACCAGTCCATACAGTGCTGTCACAGGGCACTGCTTTCCTCGAGAGGTCACAAGTTCTCCCAGTCCCCAACAAAAAGGATGCCAATTTATCTGCATTACACCAAGAACAGCAGGAAATATAAATGGCAACAACTTTCAGTTAGGCACAAGAGCTTCTTCCTTTTTCAAGTCTTGCCTGGAAACGTGTATCTGCCTTTTTGTTTTGAAAGCTCCACCCCTCTTAACTCCTAAAAGCTTCTTAAGGGTTAAAGGTATGCTGCTCCTTTTACAAACATCTGTTCAGACAACAATAACAGTATACAGAAGCCTCCACTCTGGTGCTGCTACGGATTTGTATTTTGTATTTTCTTAAGAAGATGAATTCTGTGCAGATATTTTAATTTATGGGGAAAATGGCGGAACACCTGTGTTTTTAAACGGATGGGGGCGCTGTGGAATCAGGCCGGTGTCTGTGTGGTTACTGTTCACTGGGCTTTAGCGTTTGGCATATGAATGCAGGCGAGTAAGATTAGTTACTACTAACAAACATATATAATTCTACATATTTACAACTACTTACAAGTCTATTTTTTTCTTTTTCTGCCCTCCTGCTGCCATGGACACAAATCCTCTAACAGGTAAGTGTACAGTTTCTTTACAGCCCAACAGCAAACACTGTAGGCTGTGGGATAGCGCCCCCACACCAGTGTGTTTTTTTTTCATTTACTTTTCTTGTATTGGTCAGCACCTCTGTAATACGAATGCGTTGTAGTGCACGGATATCTCTGTGTTTATATTATTTATTTAATATAGCTAGCTTATTTGATTGTTTTCGGGTTGTGTTGTGCTGAATTCAAGTAAGCGGGTAATAAGAGAATAATTAGAGAAACAAGTAATAGGTTTATTCCATGCTGAAAAAAAAAAAGAAGAAAGAGAACACAACGTTTCGGCCGTGGAGCCTTCTTCAGGTATGACGGCCGAAACGTTGTGTTTTCTTTCTTCCACCTGAACTATTAGAGAAATTCGATTATACTAATTATATAGTTACCCAGCCATGTGTCTGAAGCAGAAAGGTGAAATTTGCTCCTCTCATTTGTAATCGTTGTTGCCTTTCTACGTTTTGTATATATGAACAGCGTGCAGTGACCGTGTAGCCGCTTTCTTTTTGAGAGAAGGGGGCTTCACAAGCAGTTGAAGGTAGAAGAGTCCCAGAGTAGAAATCTTAAAAATGAAATTGCTAAAACTCCTCTACCAAACTAATTGAATGAAGAATCAAATCTAATGTTCTTAAAAACTCTCAGCCTCCCTCGAGCTGCGGGGCAGTTAATTTGTTATACGGGAAATGATAGTCCATTGATGGGGCTATGAATAAAATGTTACATCTTATTTCCGTAGACCTAGGGGAAAAAAAGCTTTTTTTCTGTAGAGGAAAAAAATCGTATAAAAGTATTTATATAAAGATGTCTTGTAGTTAACCGAATCTTTGTACAGGTGTTTACTCTACTAGCGGTCTTGGTGGAGCCTATGGGATTTAAACAGTACATTCCTGATCTATTAAAACTAAAATAAACTGTTGGGAACAGAATGGAAAATAGAAATTGCAGTAGGGTGATAAATGTGTGATCTTAGTGGAAATCTTGAAAATGACTTGATTGAGTGCAGGTCTTAGACTTGATATGTTTCAACTTGGCAAGAATGCAGGGGCTTCTAGTGAGGTTGGTAATTATAGCTTGCTTCCTCTGTCAGATTCTTATCACATTGTTTTTTTATGCATCCTAATTTTCTTTCTGAAAGTATGGCAGGACTGCTGATATTTTTTAATACTTATTTTGTCAAAGCAAAAACGAAAGTGTGCTGCAACTGGCAGATATGGAGAACTGATTATTATTTTGAGTGCTTAACTGAGACAACGATGATTTAACATTCAGGAACTATTTTCTGTGGCTTTAATGATTATCAGTATTAACTACTGTACAAGCCACAAATCTTCCCTTGTCCGAAAGACTAATAGTAATGGCTTGAATACAAAACTCGGCCTATGTAGTTTTTCACTTTGATTTATTGTATCTGTGATCCCAGCCAAACCCTACAACTCTCTTTGTGTTTATTCTTACCTAAACCTAAACATAAAGATTAAGAGCAACGTATCAAACAGAAACAGTGCCTTGTATTGCCACTCTATGCATGTGGCTGTGCTGTTTAACATCTTCGTAGAGTCATGCATGGCCATACTCAGTACAGCACATGAAGGCAGTGAATAGACCATATGCTCAGCCCCATGGGACTCCAGGAGCTGCTGTGCTTATTCCATGCAGGTAGTTATTACTGCCAGGAGCAAGAGAATATGTTTCTCAACAGAATGACTCAAATACTGACAGGAGCAGGACCACTTAGAGAAATAAAATCCTCCTAGCCATCGTTCATTTTTATATGTAAAGTGGGGAAAATCAGACATTCAATCCGAAAAGCAGTGATAAATGTTAGTTATTCCCAATCTTGACATTACACATTTCTGTGTCATTGCGTGCATTTGAATAAAAGCCACAAGTTTCAAACATGTATTCATGATCATCTACAGGTAGCACTCGTGGCTTCCACTATTGTCTGTCTTGTAAATTTCTGGTATTTAAGTCAATAGGTTGGTTCATCTACAAATAGTACAATGGTGACGATGGAGGGAAGTTTGTGTTGTTTGCGCAGATTGGGTTGGACAGTATGTTGTAAGAGATCATTATATGACATTCTTCCTGTTTGAACTTTCAGCTCTGCCGTTAGTCTGTGTGATTGCAGGGAATATCTGAATGTTTTCTGTGTGGAGAAAAATTATTACATCAACATGAAGTATACTCTATTAAAAAGTGTTTAAATAACTGTGAAATAGTTATAA